GCAGAAGGTTTAAGTGCACTGATTCGCAGGGCTGAGCAGAGAGGGGAACTCCATGGAGTACTTGTATGCCGTGGAGCTCCTCGGGTGTCTCATTTACTTTTCGCAGATGATAGCTTTTTATTTTTTAAGGCTTCGGCCTCGGAGTGTGGGGCGGTTAAGAATATGTTACAGAGGTATGCTAATCTTTCAGGTCAGCTGGTTAATTTTAATAAATCCTCTCTAAGCTTTAGTCGGAATGTGGACGAACAATTTAGGGATTACTGTTGTGGTCATCTGGGGTGCCGAGGGAAGGTGGGTCTAATATGTATTTGGGGTTACCTGCCTTGGTGGGGAGGAATAAGTCGGTGATCTTGGGTTATTTGAAGGACCGAATTGTTAATAGGATTAAATCATGGAACAACCGTTTTTTATCTCGGGCTGGGCGGGCTGTGTTGTTGAGGAATGTGATTCAGTCTTTGCCAAATTATGCTATGAATGTTTTTCTACTACCCAAGGATTTGTGTGATGGGGTAGAGAAATTAATGAATGGTTTCTGGTGGAAAGGATCAAAATTTCACCAGAAAGGAATGCGTTGGAGACGATGGGAAGCGTTGTGTAAACCGAAAGAAGCTGGCGGGTTGGGATTCAGGCGAATCAGAGAATTTAATTTGGCTATGTTAGCCAAACAGGGCTGGCGGCTTATTACAGAAGGGGGGTCACTGATGCATCGTGTGCTCAAAGCCAGGTATTTTCCCTCGTCTGATTTTCTTCATGCAAAACTGGGTAGTAATCCCTCATTTATTTGGAAGAGCATTTTCGAAACTAAATTGGTTCTGAAAAATAATGTGAGGAAAAGGGTTGGGAATGGGATTGATACCCAAGTGTGGGCGGATTCTTGGTTATCGGGGAGTAATGGGGATATTTCTTCAGAAAAGCCGGTTGGAGTAAAGGATATGAATGTGGCAGCTCTTAGAGATCATACAGGGAAAAATTGGTGTCATGAGCGCATTAATAAATGGTTTAACCCGGAGGATAGGAAGCGTATCTTAAGCATTCCTATCAGTCTTTTGGACCGGAGGGATGGTTTTTGGTGGGTAGGAGAACGGAATGGCAAATATTCGGTTAGGAGTTGTTATAGAATTTTGATGGGAGACCAAACGAGTGATTGGAACGGTTGGGGTCACTTGTGGAATATTAAAATACCTCCGAAATTTAAGTATCTGGCATGGCAAGTGCTTGATGGTACTCTTCCCACGGTGAGCAATATACGCCGAAGGGGGGTGAATATTTTGGGAGGCTGTAAAGTGTGTGGCGCAGAGGAGGAGGATACGGCGCATGCTAATCGTAATTGTCCAAAGGTGGAGGAGGTTTGGGTGCAGGCCGGGATCTCAGTGCAGGACCAGCATGTGGGTTTTGATGATTGGTTTAAAAACCAAATCACGAGGTTGGATGCACAGAAGAGCCGCATGTTTCTTGCGGTAGTATGGTGTATATGGAAGAGGCGTAATGAAGCAGTCTGAAATGAGACGGAGCTAGGAGCAGGCGAAGTGATCCGCATGGTGTCAAGTATGTTATTAGCATGGAAGCAGGCGAACGAAATAAACAGTGCTCAGCCCGGTACACGGCAGCGGCTGATATGAAGCAGGAAGAGCTTGTGGCGGGACCGGGCTTGGGACCACTTCCGTGGGCCGGTTACGGGCTGTCTTTATAATTATTTATTATTATTTTAAGTTAATGTTATGTTTTGATTTGGGCCTTTTATTAGTAGAGTACTTAGTAGAGTAGTATGGGCCTAATTAGGATTTAATTAATTTGGGCTTGATTAGGGTTGCTTGTAGAAGGCTATTTATACCCCTCGCCAGGGTTCATTCTTATGATCTTGGAATAAAAGTTTGGTTTAGCCTTTTGTCTCTGGGCAACGGTATTTTTTTATCGTTGATTATTTGGGCAACGGTTCACCCCGTTGATTTTATTTTTATGTTCTTATCAATTGGTCCGACCTGCCGGGTCCCGTCCCGCCAAGATGACAAGAACGCAGAATGATCGTTTGACAGAATTGGAGACCGAACAAACCCTAATTAAACAGCAGCTTGAGGCGCAGGGCTTGTAACTTGATGCGCAGGGAATAAAACAAGATGCGCAAGGACTGATGCTGGAGGAACACGACGCTCAGCTCGCGGAAATTGCGGCTTCGCTGGCGGTGATCGTGAAAGCCATGGCGTCACTGGAGAAAATTCCGACCGCGAGCCCTGACAGTGACTCTACCGTTCATGGCGCACTGGTGACCGGTGTTGCAGGCAGTCTGCGCAGCACGACTTCCACCTTGCTGCCCTCGTTCGATGGCGAAGACCCCATCGGGTGGTTGGCAAGAGCCGAGCAACAATTTGAACTCAACGAAACCCTACCAGGTAGGAAAGTGGCCGCAGCTACGGTGGCTATGGAAGGGGCTGCCCTATATTGGGTAACTTGGTTGAAGGGGCGCAAACCTAACATGTCCTGGGAAGAATTCAAGCAAGCCTTG